AACGATACATCACGGGGTCCACGTCTTGTCAATCCACGAGGCGGTCCGTATAGTGACCGGCGACAGGACCGGTGGTCGTTCGGCTTGTCGGGTGAACTTATTTGAAAATTTGTCGTGTTCGGTTGGCTAATTTTACCGACGGACAATAACTGTCCGCAGTTATGAATATACTACGGGGCGACCGGTTCATGAATATTTTCGCCTACTGAAACACAATGGTCGCATAAAACGTCTGAATGACAGGACCACTGCGACGACGACGACGACGATTGCAGGTTACAAAAAAAAAAGAAGAGATTTTTGCTTAGCCCGCTTTCCGTGGGTATAATAAAATGTATGTGTTTCGCGGTTGGCGTATTTGATCCATAGACATTTTACTAAACGGAACGCGCATTGAAACCTAAAAATGTTACTAAGATATGTTGTGCGAGAGAGACAGACCTAAGTATGTGTTTGATATAATTTGTAAAGTTTAATTCATCGTTGTACATTGTTTGTCGCCGATATGCGGGGTATATATTATTAAAAAGTGACTCGACTCAAGTCTATGATTTAATCAGATACCGTTTGTCCACCCTTATCAATAACATAGCAAGTTTCTAGTGTCGTCTATTGTAATGAAGTATTATGATGAATATAATTAACGTCGTCGCCGTCGAGCACTCCGTAACCAATTACGGTTTTAATTTATCATCCCGGGTGTAAGGACAAAATGTAATTATCATAATATTGCTCGTCGCATAAAACGTAAGGGTTAATTATACTTAACACCGGCGTACAATAGCGTACCGTCGACCCTTCCACGAACAGGTAACAGTTAATAATTACTGTAAAGTGTTACAACAGTAAATCGTCTCGGGGCGCTCCTAATACTGGAAAGAAACTCGTTGAATTAATTGTAAATTTCTACCAATTTCTTTAATAGTAATTATTGTAACCGTGGGGTGGGAAAAAGTGGAGCCAGGGTAGTGTACGGGTCGATCATCGGCCAAGCAGGTTGCTTGACTTGAGATTACCAAAATAGAATGATTCATCCGTCAGTCGATGTACATCTCTGTGTGCATTTCCTGTGGGACGCATAGGTGAATCGCTAACGGAAGAAGGAAATATCGTTATTGCAACGATTCGGAATACGGAGAGCTCGGCCGGTATAATATAATAATATATATTTATATATTATTATGTACTAATACGTGTAGGTTACAATATCTATCAGAGGGCACACACGAGTTGAACCGATCGGACCGTGATAAGAACGTGCTATAGACGCCGCCATAACATGGCTGCCGGTGTTTGTTTACATAAAAGAGGTGACCATTATGATTATGATCTCGGTCCTCGACGACGATATATATAAGTATTTATTGCCATTGACGAAATTCAATTTACAACGTTATGCCCACACACACATACGGTGACAATAGTTTTTCGGCGGTTTTACGCCAGAGAGAAGACAGAAAAAAAAAAGTCGGACAATAGGTAAACACAAACACAATGAGTGGGATCCGCATACCTATATCCATCAGATTTCGTCGTCAGATCGAGTCATCGGATTGCCGTCACTGCGTTTACATATAGGTTTTACATTGGACAAACTCAATCCTCCGGCGCAAAGCCTTTTTGGAAATTGACCCGTAAAAAAACTAATATGGATCACAACCGTCAAAGGTCTGGCCGTTTGAAAATACAAGCATTCCGCCGCCCTCGAGGAGATCCTACCGCAGTACCTGTCGACCCCTGGCGCATACGAAACACATGAAAAAAAAAAATGATAATAATACAGTACCAACCACTGTGTATGTGTGCGTTGATTCGAGATCAAATAGGTTGCGCACAAGGTCGAGCGGCTTCTTTTTATTATTTGTATAGGTACACGTCGAAGCGACGCGACGGCCGGGTACGTGGCATCGTTTACAAAGTAAAACACGAATCCACGGAGATAGAGGTATGACTGCAGGCCTAATATTAATTAGTATCGACGATAATATTAGGTATTTTATTGTAATAATATCATAAGATTTTCGTAACGCACGCGCCCCGAGACTTGGCGAGGCAGCGCGTGCACATTGTACACAATCATCGCGTGTAGCTAATAATATAGGCTTTTGTAGATCATAAACAATCATTTCGGCCACGGTGCGGTCGATTTTTTTCGTCTACACAACGCATTTTATCGACCGCGGTGTTATTATTGTGGATAAACGTTAATCAAAATTTTGACGTGGAATCAAAAAAAAAAAAATATATACAATATTATTATAATAACGACACAAAATGTACCTACCCGAGGAAAAATTGTTGTTTACGGCGTATATAATAATATAATATACCTATACTGATTTATGATCGATCCTCCGGTCGGTCGACCCGGTGACGTCTACCACACGAAGGCGGACGACAAGCTTGGAACAAAACGTTCCTTCGGGATATTAGTCGGGTATAAAGAATTTCTTTTTTGAAATATTTTTACAGTATTTATAATACGTGGTTAAACTCATAGGTTTTCGTAACTCTCGCCCAATATTTTCCTCGCGGCGACCATCCGTCAAACGATTGCCACGCGTTATTTATTATAATACCAAGGCGATATGAAAATTATTAAAAAAATATAGGGTTTTTTTTTTTAAAAATATTTTATTAACTTTGTATAAATAAAAAAATAGAGCGTTTCGTTGAACTCGGGAAAATTATAATACAATATGTATAGGTATTTTTTATTATGTATTTTTTTACTTGTTCACCACAAACTGTTTTCGATCCCTAAACTAAAATATACTACAGTAGACTATAGTAGACTATAGTACCACAGTCTGCCTTAGCATGCCCTTGCGCAAAAACCGGCGACCCAAAACGGCCCGGGGTTCTCTTTATTTGGATTCAATAACTGATGATAATGTATTATCATTTTGTCATTGGTACTGTGCGGTCCGTTCAACAGCTATGATTGTGTCCATTGAAAACCGTTAACCCGTGTCGCGATGAAACGGGATTTTTAATATTATTTTGGTATTTATTGGCGTGTACCATAACCGAGGCGACGGCGGGAGGACGTTAATTATTACACTCCCCCTACACGCATAGTGTATAATATAGTGTGGCCTTTTTTTTTTTGCATTTTAACGACCGCTATATTTTGAAACGTCTAAAAAAAAGAAAGGGGTACAGCGGGATATAAACAGCCGAGTAGCTTTTTATGGACCCGCGTAGGTGCCAATGTGTCGGTGGTGTAATTTTCTTTGGGCGCGAGCTCGGCTGTGGGATAATATTTTTTTTCACATTAAAACCTACTGCCGACGGTGTCAAAATAGTAATTTTTTTTTTTTAAAACCCAGGAGATTAATCACCCGGGCGTAGAAATTAATTTATCATTAACGTTAAGCCTTTATTTTATAGGAGAAGATAAGCGTTTTCCGGAGTCGGCGCAACGATTCCAAGAGGCTTCACGCAAACAGATAAGACAGTTGCTGTTTTTGTTGTGTGCTAAACTAGTTTTCATATTTTTGTTTTAATTTTACATACCTATTATCACGTGGGACGCTGATTATTTGGTCACCGCGCATACCTAAACAATAATACTAATACGTTACAATATTAATGGCGCGCAATTATAACTGCGATAAGAATATTTTACATAAATTATAAACGACAGTGTGTGTGTGTGTAAAAGAGCTGAGAACCGACCGAATTACCGGCGGAGAGTGACTATGAGAAAGTTGGAAACGTGCGCCGAATTTAACGCGTAATTATACATTGCAAGGGCGTTTCGCTGGTATCAAAACGAGGTTTAGTAGCAAACTTCTTTGTTGCTTCTTCTCCTTGTTATTGTATAGATTATGTGTTGTTGTATAGCCAGCAAAGTATTTTGGCACGGTCGGGGGGGCGTTCGTGATCGGCAAGATAACGCGGTAACTTTTGAACGTTTTGTTTTTATTAGAAAAATCTCCACACAATGCAATAACCATATTATTTGTGTTGCAGTAGGCGTCTCGACAAAACCGGGAACGGGTTGGTATTGAATTTGTGGTGGTAACCGCAAAAGCTTTACGTTACCATTACTATAATCACAGCGACGTCCTAAACATGATTTTTCTTGATTAAAATAGGAGAAATAAGAAAAAAAAGAGTTCACTCTATACATTTTAAATCGTAATTTTTTTAACGAACTCAATTATATACAATTATTACGCTCCAAATGACATGAGTCGAGTGACACTATACTTAATGGCATGAAGATTTTTTTTTTTCGTTTGTTTAAACTCTTTGAAAAAAATACACATAAAATTAGAAGCGACTGCATTGTGCGGTTATTCGAGTAAATCGATTAGACATGTCCCGATGAGTGCATTGAGACGGGGACGACCGTTACGAGCCGTCAGAAAGATTTGAACTATAACGACCGCTCGTCACAAGCATTAAGTCGGATTATCATAACACAAACACACCACACACATGCTTGACACATACGAACGCCGTAGGATTTCTTTATTTTTTTTCCACTAATGACGCTTCGGATTATTTAAATGTATTTTCCAGGGGAAAAACAGATTCCGGCGTTTAACAGAAAAATCCGAATTATATAGAATTATTTTTTTTTTTTTAGCAGCGACGGAGGAACACAATAATTATTTTACAACGGAATCGACACAATACACGTCAAAACCGAATTTATAATAATAATAAATACCTACAAAACGAATACAGTCTTAAAACCGGCCGGAAAATCGTGCAAACCCTTTGGAACAACAAACAGTAGACACCCGAAGCGGATTTACTCCCCCGAGGGCGGCGAACGCTCGAAAGTCATCATCTCGCGCATTGTTTGACTTTTGTCGGTTTCTTTTTCTCAACTTTACCGCAAACTTTTCAACTAGTTTTTTTCGCCCGGAGACGTCGTTAGTGGACTTGACTCGACTCCCCGGAGTAAAAGAGAAAAGCGCAACCATTGTAACGGTAATAATTATTTTTTGCCAAACGCTTTGTTACGGGACGGAAGAACTGACCTTGTGCAAACATCCGGCCCGGCATTGGGCGACGGTCAGCGGCGAAGCTTTCATCAGGTCCTCGTTGGCCGCGTCGCGCGGTAAAGCGGCCGCCACGACTACGGTCGTCGCCGTCAACAGCGCCCAGGCCGCCACCAATCTGCCGGTCGACATGACGGTTGTGTTGGGTGGTGGTGTTACCGCGCTATGACCGGTGACCAGGTTTTGTGGACGATTTTCCGACGAACAAATCGGCGACGACGGTCGAGAAAAATCGGAAAAACGCGGAAAAAAAAATACGCTCAAGACACACGAGCACGTGATACGCGATGCCAGCACGACGGACGGACGGACGGACAAACGATTAACGGTCGACCGCGCGGTTAGCCGAGTAAACAGCGACTGCTTGTCGGAGGCGGCGGCCACGGCGGATACGGATACCGAAGGGTAACGCAGTCCCCGTGGTTCTCGGCGGGGCCGCGCGAGAGCGACACCGGCCGATGCTTGGCGCACAGGAAAAACGGTTCAGCCGGTTCCATTATTAATATTATTACATATACATATAAATTGTAATGTTACACACACCTACGCCTATACTCGGTTGACGTTGAACCCGACATTAAAGGCTTTAATGTCGGGTTCTGTCAATCGAAAAAGAGATCACAAAGACGGTTGGTTTTGATTCGGTTATTGATCATTTTTCTGCGATCAAAGCCAGAAAAATAAAGTTTTAAATAATAAATTTTAAATTTTGGAAATTTGGAAAATGTAGAATAAAGATATTTTAGTATATACATTTAGTCCATAAGTTATAATCATTATGTTACAATTTTCAGTTCTTCGTTATATTTTTGTTTAATTGTATTTTTCCGTACCTAGGTATACTTATTAAGTTTCCATTGTAACAAATATTAAAAATGTATAAATATTGTTCATTTACATAAAGCTTTTTATATTAAAAATAAGCAATGGATAATTTAGTTTTGTTAATAAATAATTATACATGATGTTATTATTACCAATATTGTTTTTTCTGAACCAGAAACTTAGAAATATTGACCACAGATTTTAGTTTTAAATACACCATTAAGAAGTTCTTCTAAAAATATTACCTACTTGATTAGTTTAAAATTTAAAAATGTTTATTTTTAAGTTAAAATTGTTTAAATAATTTGTGGTAAATAATTTATTGGTCCAGTATATTGCGAACAGCTTTATAAATGGTCGGTACTCACACTACTGTGTGATTATGCTTGATTTTTCGTAAAAAAAAAAAATACTTATTCTGGTCATCTCCCTGAAATGGGCGTAAGTTTTTCATTTTCCCCGGGTGTTAAAAAGTTAAGATCCGGCCCTGATTAAAGCCTCCGGTTAGGACTTTGATTCGCCAATAATAATATTATGCACCACGCGGCAGGCCATAATATATTAGACTTTTTTATTACGTTTTTAGTGTTGCCGAGTTTATTTGGTATCAGTTTTAAAAATATGCACGGTGGGTTTAGGTTGATGTTTCAAAAAATGAACAAATAATTTTAACTACTTATGTTATTGTAGGTTGATAAAGCTACGCGAAGTATGAAATAAGATGTTAATGTTTGTAAAATTCATAATTCTGTTAAAACCGTATGAACTTAACATTTTTAAAACGTAATCTTAATATATTTTATTAACTTTTAAAATAAGGAATAATTTGCTAAACATTTTGACTGGACGATAAGCAGTTTTGGATATTTACTTATAATTAGTTATTAAACTAAAGTATAAAATTTAGAACTGGAGGAAGTGCGGAGTGTAGTATTATTTTGATTGCTCTACTTCACTTCATCTCCTATCCTAAATGTTAAACTTAAACAACTTATGTAATACTTTATAGCTTAAAGTAATTATCCAAAGTTGGTTATGGACCAGTCAACATTTTCAACAAATTATTTTTAATTTTAAAAGTTAATAAAATAGTTCAGTTGAGATAATATTATATACATTATCATTTAAAAATATTAAGTTCATAGGGTTATATTACATAAGCGATGGAGTTGTATTGTTGAAAAATATATTAAATTTGGGCTAATTACTGTGAAAGTATGAAAAAGAATAATTTAAAATAAATTCATCCACAGCCTACAGGGAAAAAGTTATCTTGGCTCCAGACATACAAAAAACCACAATCAGCTATCACATCAAAGCTAAAAAGTCTAATATCTTTTAAAATATTGACTGGTCCATATAGTTAGTGAAGCACGCTGTATAGTCTTAATTAGTATTCAAGTAAGAATTTCGAATAATCTTTTTATGTAAAACAAAATATTATATTGTATTATGTATTAATATAGTTAATACATTTGATTAATAAATGCGAAAACACCAAAATGCAATATTATTATAAATTAAGACTTAAATACATGTTATAAAAACGGAAATAACTGTTTTGTTATTCCACGCGGGTCTCGTTCTGTAATAAAAAAACCGTTGTTGATTACCTACCGCTAAAACTTTACTTTTATTTTCCTTCCTAATAAATCATTCAATTACATTAGTCGGTTACTCTCTTCGTGGCCGTAGCATTCGGTTGTTGAAAAGTCTTCGAAACTTTTTTTCATGAAAAACTACCCCTGCAGACAGTGAGACTTTGGGTTTCTTTTAATTATGCCATTTACATTAGTAATGTCATTTTAATGTAACCAAAAACAATTCTCGGTTCAGACCGCAAAATAATTTTAGTACGAGGGCGTATCACTCGTGTCAAATCCAGCGTATTATTTAATAACAAAGTTATTAACGTTATGTTGCGACAGAAACTTAGTAGAAAGCAATATTGAGATACCTACTTACATTTAACAAGATATAATATTATTATGTTATAGTCTTTTCATCACATTTATTAGCTTTTTGTTGTAGTATTGCGGCAAGGAACCTAAATTACAATAAACTATATATTATTATAAAAGAAAACATCTTGTGGAAATACCTTTATGTGCGAAATTTAAATTGTTATTTACCAAAATTCGAATACTTAAGAAACTGCTTTTATGATATTGCTTACTAGCTTTCAATTGGTTAGTAGCTCACGTTATAATTACAGGGTAACCCTCTATGGTATTTCCAGTCGATAACTTTTTTATCTAATAAATATTTAATTCAAATCTGTCCAAATCTGTTTGTTTTAATAAAATGTATTTGTAGTTTTAAACTATTAATAGTGTTTTGATGAGAGGGATAACGAAATGTACACATACCTAAAAATATATTCATATAGTTTGTAAAACATATAAATAATATCAAAAATAATTATTACCGAAAGACTTGATTTTCTTTATTTTTGTGTAAAAACTAGATTCATGTGTTAATTAACCAACAATAATTATTAGTTGTATTCTACATACCTAATGATGAAAATATAAAAACGAATTCATGCAAAATCGATAGTAACAAATTCTGATATCAGTATTATAAATCTTATATAGTTTACATAACACGAGAAATACCACTGTTCGTAAAAAATACTGTTTATGGCTGATTTATTATATTACAAATAACTCTTAAATAATGTTATTTATGGTTTTTAGCCGGTGTACGTTTGTGCGCAATTAACTATTAAATCTCGGTTGGATGTGGCCGTTTAAAAATTGATTTACAACTTTGGTTTCGTGTACCTACTCAAAGTTGTCGTTTTTCCAATGAACGAAATTATAGTATTTCAATGATCGCTTTTTCTCACGTTTCCAATCACACAGTATCGTTACATCAGATCTATCGTTTACCACTTGAATAATTATTGCCACAAAACACACACACACCTTCACACATGTAAACATGTAATAAAACAACGTATATAGGTCATAGGCAAAGTACATCCAGTCTTTCTTTGCAATTCGTACACGCGGTTTTGTTGGAAATTTACTGTTTATTGATTTATGTATATTCCAAAACCATAGAAAAATAATATAATCAAACATGTGTGTGCACAAATCCTAAAATGTAGGTACGTCTGGTTGCGAAAATATTGTCAAACTATAATATATATATTAACCTTGGATTTTATGAATTGAATATTCTTTCATAAACATTGACTTCAAGTGAGTAACAGAAATTCGTTGGCTTGTTGATAATTCATCGATACACACATTTATCATAATTCAACAAAATACCTAACGAATTACAATTCTATAATGTCTATTTCCTTTGGGATAGTGAATATGCTTAGAATAACATAACTGTTATCTTCTTCTTATACCCTTTTCATATGGTTTTCACGAGGGCTATACGCCACATACCTACAGCCGGACTACTGATATGAACGTTCCAAAGTTATGGCTTAATTAGGATTCCAAAACTGTCCGGCATCTATGATTAAAAATCAATAATCGCCACGATTGCCAAGGCCGAAATAATGTAAATACGAGTCTTAGCCAATGTACTCCAGCTTCTTGTATAATATTATTTCAGTGTGCTCGTGTTACTTTTATTGGAAATAATAATACTATAACGAAAATAAACTATATAAAATAATAACTGCTTGGAAGCTCATGGAAGCCTCGACTAAAGTTTATAACAGTCTAGTTGGTGTGCATTTTGATATCTTAAGTATCAAATAGTTTTTACAAATATATAATTTTACAAGGCTGTATATAAATGTGACTGGCTGGCCATTTATTGTCTGCTGTTTCGGCTGTAAATTAAATAGCTACAATAAACTCTTTTTTTTAAACAAATTTCATTATATTTGTTTGAAATTTTACAATTTAAAAAACAGTAGAATATTTTACCCTTTATAGTATTTTTTTTTTAAATGACGATTGACGATAATAGTAATGTGCTAGTATGATAAACAAATTATACGAAATTAAAATGTATATAATAATATTAAACAAGCTAATAAATGCTAATCTTATTTTATTTTTTCGCCGATAAAAAAAATTAGTTTTCGATTAATTTTGTTCAAAAAGTTCAACACGTTCGTCCCGTTTTTTTCGAAGACTCCTCTCAGAATTTCCCCAAATACCTGTCGACTTGTAAGGTCTGAAACAAAAAAAAATGTATAATGTAAATCTATAAAACACAACTAACTTTCCTCCTGCATTAAATTTGAAACTTCAATAACTTCAACAATAGTTGTTCAATAATGGTAATCGACCAGTCAACATTTTTAGTACATTCTTCTCAATTTAATAGTTAACGAAATGTATACGTTAAAAAATATATTAAATGGTTACCTGGTAATGCTTCTAGTTCTTTTAAACAGTCTAGTATTTTGACCAAATTACGGTCGCCCAAAATAAACAAATATTCATTTGTTGTAATTTCATCTTCATGAATGTCGAAACATTGTATAGTTAAGTTATAACATAGTTCTATAGCCTGAAAATATTTGAAGCATATGTTATTTAAAAATTCTGAATTTATAGAATACA